CTCTGTAGAGATGTGCCTAAACTAGAGCCACTAATCTGAAGCTCCCAACAGGAGAATCATAGGCCCGGTCTACACTTAAAAATTAGATCAACCTAGCTGCATTGCTCAGGGTTGTGAAAAATTTTGCACCCTGAGTGCTGTAGTTACGTTGACCTAACCCCTAGTGTAGATGTGGCTAGGCTGACAGAAGAATTCTTAGCTACCACCTCTCAGAGAGATGGATTAACTATATAGATGGAAAAACACCTGCTGTCAATGTAGGAAGTTTCTACGCTATGGTGCTACAGCAGTACAGCTGCAATGCCATAGCTGTGCTGCTGTAGCAATTGTGGAGTAGATATGGGCATAGAAATGTAGGGCTGGAAGGGACCTCAAGAGGTCATCTAGTCCACCCCCCTGTACTGAGGTAGGCCACATATACCTAGATCACCCCTGACAGGGGTTTGTCTAACCTGTTCTTAAACTCTTCCAGTGATGGGGATTCCACAACATTCTTTGGAAATCTATTGCAGGGATTCAGGGATTTCAATAAATAAGCAAGATCCAACCCCCCTGTTTATGGTTTGGCAACCCCATCTGACAATATTTCCTGTACCAGCCACCCTCATTTTTGCCTTTGTCTTTTTGAAGTAGTGATACAGGCTAAAACTTGACCAACTTAACTAAAACTCCCTTGAGGATTCTGATGAAATGGGACCCATTTCCAAACCAACCCTGTTTTTTCAGTCTCTGTCAACTTTTTGCTGAGATTCTGTGTAGCAGAAACAGTCCATGGAAGGAACCCATTGCTCATTTTAAATAAAACAAATTCTCCCAAGGATGTCTTCGGCACTTGCATCTTCCTGAAGACCTTCCCATAAGCTAATGCACCCAGTTTAAGGTATCTATTCTGCTACCAGTGGATGTGTCTAACTCCCTTTAATATTAGTGGGTGCCATGTGTGTGCAATGAGAAAAGAACAGAATGCTAAATATGGAAATCCAAGGCCTAATCTTTGAGGGAACTATCTGCAAAAAAATGATTCAAGGAGGAGTCTTACAAGTCCTGCAGAGAGAGGGAGCAAGAGCTGTGAATGGATTCAAGCATTATGAAAGACTCTGTTTTGCAGGGCACTGACTGTCTAAGGGGATTTCTAAAGGGATGTGCAGCCCTTCACTACTAAGTTAGCACTCATTTAAATCTGACACCAGTGAACCAAAGTTATTTCTGTGTCACTTGACTGGTAGTCTCAGCCCAGTACCTAATGACCATTGGATCAGGTCCTGACACCAGTAGGAGACTTTCCATTGACTTCAGCGAGTGGTGAATCAGTGCCCTGTTGCATACACGTGCACTTCAGCAAAATCCATATAATAATGAACTCTAATTGAGAGCCTTTCTAGCAGCTTCAGCAGAGAAGATAAGGATTTGAATGAGCATGGAGATTGTCCTCATCACTATTAGAAGTGGTCCCTCAAGAAAAGAGCTGAGGAAAACTGGAGAGGCAGCACAGGACAGCTTGCATTCCTGTTGCTTGTTCTTAGCATTGTCAGAGAAAAACACAGTCCTCACTTTTTGTTTGGGTACAGAGTCTGATGTTCTCTATCTGTTCAGTTACTCAGAAGTTACTTTGCAAAACAGAATCCAGAGTCTTTCTTAGGTAAAGAATATTTCCTGAGAGTATAGTTAAAACAAAAGCTGATCCAGGAGGCATCACAGTCATAAACATACAATAGAGGGGAAATACTTACAAACCCTTACATAGTTTGACTATCACCTTTCTACCATTATTGCTTGCAGTCTTGTTGTAGCTGTGTTGGTCCCAGGATATTACAGAGACAAGCTAGGTGATAGAGAGATGAGAGCTGAAGAAGAGATCTGTGTAGCTCAAAAGCTTGTCTCTTCCACCAACAGGAGTTGGTCCAATAAAAGATATCACCTCACCCACCTTGTCTCTGTGTCACCTATCTAGATGTTTATAGTGAGCCTATCATTGTGGTTTCTCAGCATGGGAGTTGCATGGCTAACAACTTTTGCAATATCTAACACCTGCTTCTCCTCCCATTTATACCAGTTTTACACTGTAACTTCCCTGATTTACATGGATTAATTCCTGCTTAACACTAGCAAAAGTGAAAGAAGAATCAACCCCCTAGGGGTTAGATCTCATGATGAGTGTTCTACAGAAGACAGAGCACAAGCATCCACCATGTGCTCATCAATTACTATGCTGTTGTAAAACTGGTTTAATGAGACCAAGAGGAACATTCATGTTTCATACGTCAACAAACTATTTCATGTTTAAACAGCAATGTTCTTCTCTGGATTGTTAAACACGTATTACAACAGGATGCAACCTGGTTTGCGGTCTCTGACACTCACCGCCCAGGCTGCTGGTGTCGCAAAAATGATATTGGCAAGATGGCTACTGCCAGAGCCAAACTCCCAAATGACAATTTGTAATCTTTATTTTCAAGCCAAATTCAGTTTAGGCATGGTGTTGTCACCTTCAGGCTACTGTGGAGAGCAAAAGATCCCAGAGTGATTCTCTTGAATAGTCATTTCTGCCAACTGTAAAGCTATGTCTCAGAGTAAGGAATTGATTCCAGGAGTGAGGCACTGATTCTGCAGTAATGAACTATGAAGGTGCTTCTCCTAAATGGGACTGGGATTAAGTCCATGTCCCAGAGATAATGATTATATATTCTGCTTGTTCTGTCAAATGTCAAGGTTAATCCTGCTGCTTATTGTAAATTCAGCAGTTCCATTTTAATTCTCAGCACAATACTGCTTGCTTTACGAAGTCATGGTCAGACATACAGAAAATCTATCCTGTGATCTGTAACCTCTAAAATGAAATATCACACCAATGTCTGCTAGGAGCTTTATCTGTAACAGAGGTTTGGCTCCTGCAGCCCTGACTAAAGGGGATAAGGAGGGCTGCAGCTCAAGCCTATATTTCAGACGTGGGCAAACTACAGCCCACGGGCCACATCTGGCCCGCAGGACCGTCCTGCCCGGCCTCCGAGCTCCCAGCTGGAAAGCCTAGTTCCCGGCCCCTCCCACACTGTCCCGCTGCCCCTGTAGCCACGCTGCCGTGCAGGCAGCGCTCTGGCCTGCCGCTCCTGCTGGACAGCAAGGGGAGCGCAGCTGGCTCTGGCCAGGTGTCGCGGCTGCGAGCTCCTGCTGCTGGTAAGGGGGCAGGGAGCATGGGGGTTGGTTAAGGGAGTGGGGGGAAGTCAAGGAGGAGGGGGCAGTTGTATGGGGTGGAGGTTCTGGGGGGGTGGTCAGGGGATGGGGAACAGGGAGGGTTGGGAGTGAGAATCCCGCGGGGTCTGTCAGGGGGCAGGGATGTGGATAGGGGTTGGGAGGGCAGTCAGGGGACAGGGAGCAGGGGGGTTGGATAGGGAGCGGAGGTTCCGGGAAGGC